GCACTGTGACCATCGGCAGTGTAAGTAAAGCTTTCTTTGTAAAACCAACACGCTTCTGTGCCTAACTCTACTCCATCGTGGAAAAACCCCACCTGACAGTCCGGGCTACTGGCCATAGCCTCAGACCACCCTCGGTCCCGACAACATATAGGTCTATCCCTTCTCTAGTGGGCTTCACTTAAGAGATGCTTTGAGATTAATGAGCAGTCAATGACCTATATAGCAAGGGTGCTATACCCAGGACTCCCCACAGGTCTGAAAATTTGGCGGCAGGCAAGAAGTGCCATTGCTTTCCTGCTGCCAAATTTCCAGACTCATGAGGTGTCCTGCAAGCCTAGCAGCACCTAGGGATAGATCCTGGCAGACAGGGCCAGGCAGGGGTGGTAAATGGTACCAGGACCTGATCCCAGAAGGTAGGGGCAGGACAGGACCCAATACAGGTATGCAGATCCAAGCAGAGGGCCATGGCCTGGCCCCATGCCACTCATCTGGCCTGCGAGGGCAGAAGATTGTGAACCAACGAGCTATAGCATATTAATGTAATCATTTCCAATAATGAGAACCCTGGGTCTTAATTATTAGGAATGGTAATGTTAGTTAATCCATTTATAATGCTTACAAAAATGCTTGGAGCATAATACCCATACATGGTTTGATTTAATTAGCTCTATTTGGACCCCTGGTAACATCATTAGGTAGAATAGTAAAACTGATATCAAAATAATGCCTCACTGAAGAAAAAATTTGCATGCCAAATGCCTGCATGTATGTCAAAGGAAAACAGGTCCATTAATTAAGTTTGGAAAATATAAACATTAATCAGATCCTACGCAAAAGTATAATTTAATGATATTTCCAAATACCTGTTAAAGGGTTACAAGGTTCTTTGGGTAAATCTGATATTATGTAATAAAAGATGTCAGATTTACCCAAAGAACCTTGTCTGCCTATGTCCTTAGACCAACATGGCTACAACCTACACCAATGTTAAAGGGTTAATAATATAACACTAACACTATAATTTGGAGAGAGGTTTTTCCAATACTGACATAGCACTATTTTTCAATACAGCCCTGAGACTGCAAGCAGACTAGTTTTATGATGTCAAAAAATGAACACATTCCAGAAAGAAATTCTGCCCTGTGTAAATGTGGGCCAAATGCTTTTTAATCGCATTAACGCAAGTCCATTGAAGTCACAAAGCTGGATTTGCACCACATGTAGCCATGTCACAAAACTACAACATGCTATACAGAAGAGGTTAAAATATTTTATTCAGAAACAAAACTCACCACCTTCTGGCCAGCACACATTCTGATTTATACTTGTGGCAGACTTTTTTTTTTTTTTTTTTTTTTTTTTTTTGGGGGGGTGTTAGATTTAAGGCACAACAAACAGCAACTACAGCCAGGATCTGGGATGAAACTATACCTCAGGCTATACCTGTCTTCTACAAACATTACATGTATTCATAGCATTCATTTCAAATGTGGATGGAAAGGGAGGAGGCTTTGTGGAGAGAAGAAAATCATTGTTAATTTACTTTCTGCTTTTTGCTTGGCTTGCTCCCTCCCTCTGTCCCTGTTAGCTCATGGCAACAAAAGAGCAAACACAAACAGGAGGTATGTACAGAAGTTACACTGTAGAATGATAGTTCCTGGGCAGGGAAAACAAGAATAAGTAGACTGCAGTGAGGTGTAGTCAGCTCACTCAGAAAGGTTGTTGCCCATTCTTACTAAAAAAAACAACATAGTTTTAAGTGGGATGGTGGCAACAGAACTGCTGACAGAGAAGCACTTCCAGGTTGTTATTTCCCTCCCCTACACCAAACTATGGTCATTCTTTTTCTATCTAACAGGACAAGAGTCTGGAGAACATCAATGAAGAACTGACTCTGCTAAGCAACAGGAGGCACACCTTTCCCCAAGCATGCCTCCTTATTCACAAAATAGATGCAAGCTGTAACAACATCTCATCACCAATATCCAAATTCCATTCAATACAGAAACGTCAAGAGAAAGGGGAGAGAAATTAGTGGTTTTCACAGTTATTAATTCATAGGCTGTCTGCTGAGAATAACAATTAGGGTGCTACATAGGCTAAGTGCAGACATTCGGAGGGTCCTAGGTGGAGGTTAGATCAGGTTAAAAATGGCCACATGATCTAACTTAGTTCGCACAGGTGCAGACCTTACACTTAGACCCAATCTAAACCCGTAACAGTACAGAAGTTTGGTGCACAGAGGACGGTCTAAAATGGCAGGATCCAATCTAAGATAGATCTAGATCAATGTACACTCAAACTTAATCGATCTACGTCAGACCAATGCATGAAACTTCCATACAGTTACCTGCACAGCCCCAGGGATGCACTTTTTGTACCTGTTCCCCTGGTACTGGGCTATTTTTAGCCCCCACAGCTCACTGCACCCTCCCCACAAGACCAGCCATCCCCCTCTACCACAAGCTGCTCTAGGGCCAGATTTATCAGCATTTGCCACTGCCAGGAGCTGAACAAGCAAGAATTCGGGGGGGGGGGGGGATGGGGG